AATGCCGAGAAGGTAACCTGAATGAGGACTCCACCTGCTGCTAGGAAGATACTGGGACGCTAGAAGATTCACTGCCACACATTATCACAGCCCGTACCTGAAGATGAAAGGGAATATGTTTTTAAAAAGGCAGATTTTCATGGTACACATGTACAGGCTGAAGCCAGGCAGGGCCCACAAGGAACTCCTGACAGACCAAGCTGAGGCCCGCAGATCTAAGACCAAGGAAGCACGCAGGTGCAGTGAGGAGTGCCTTCAGGTCAAGAAGGAGATCCCCAAGACTATCCAAGGAGGATGACATCAAGAAATAACCACTTCTTGTCTGTACAGAATGGTCTTGATGACTACACAGATAATCAGTCAAATAAAATGAGGTTTTATCTTAGAGAAAAAAAATAATGTTTTGATTCAGTGTTTTCTTCTATTCCACAGTCTTCTCACTAATTTTAAACCCACATTTGCAGAATTTATAGAACTGCCAGAATTGACCAATAATTTTGTTATGGTAAATTATTAGTGAGGGGCCAGCAGGCCCCTCTGTCTCTCTCTCTCTCTCTGGTCAAATTAAAATAAATGAATGAATAAATAAAATAAGTATCTTAAAATTATTCAATATAATAGATTGTCTTAAGATTTTCTCAAATGAAATACTACATGAATGTATTTATATGTTAATGTTTGTCTCTGTAAACTGATCATTTATATTAGATTTCAAGTGGATTTACTAGATTATAATTTCTTTGTTTTTAAGTGGATTGCCCCTCATGGTGATAATCCATAAATCCTGGTGTGGAGCTTGCAAAGGTAAGTGCAAGTGTTCAGCTTGAAGTCAAACCTCAGATGTGTTGTTGAATGTTATCATTTAACAAATATTAGTACTGACTCTGGCCTGGCATCTCTGATTGCTTTGAGGAATACTAAAGAAATCTATGACAGATGTCCTGCCTTCATGAAATTTTCTATTGCATTGCAGGGGGCAGTAGGGAGGGTGAGGTGATTAAGATATAGTTACATTGACTATGTAATTAAATGGTAAAATAAGTAGTATGGATAGTAAGTATTAAAATAAGCTGAAATCATGTACAGAGAGAGAGAGAGACATGAGAAGTGATTGGAGAATTCCTAGAGGAGGTGGGAACCAAGTTAGAACCTTTACCTGACTCTGTGGTATGTTCTTTCTGCTGTATAACCCTGCCCTCTCCCCAGTCAGGTTTTTTTCTTTTATTTGGTATACAACCTTTAATAAAACCTGTATTTGAAAGAGTTTAAAATGAGTGTAATTAGTGATACAAACACATGTACTTTAGTGGCAGAGTATAGTCTATTCTTTAGTACAAGTTATTGAAATGTAGTTGTAAAAGGCACATGGTACAGTCAGCCCTTTGTATCTAGTGGTTCCACGTTAATAGATTCAACCAGTCTTGGATTGAAAACACTTGTAAAAAAAAATAATAAATGGGGATCAGCAGATGGCATAATGATTACATCACTGAACTCCCACGTTGTTGACCACAGTTTGAGTCCCAGATCCAGCAGCTTAAAACTCACACTGGATGCTTGTGCATACATGTCCAAAATCCCGAGAGAACAGAGGAGGGATTGTGGCGTGGCCATCCCCTTTTGGGGGTGATTTCTTGCTTTCTGTCTCTCTCGTTTCTCTCTGTCTCTACAGTGAGCGCACATGTTCAGTAGCAAAAACCTCTACCCAAAAATAAGAAAAATACAGTGTAACAACTGGTTACATAGTCTTTACATTGTATTAGGTATCACAAGTAGTCTAGCAATAATTTAAAGTGTAGGGGAGGATATGCAAAGAAATGAAGTCACTCAAAGTCACATACCTCTGCAGATGTGTCTCTGGCAGAAGCTGGACCAGAATCCAGTGTCCTGTTTCTGGCTTTTTAGAGTTAAAAAGAGCTGGACCAGAATCCAGTGTCCTGTTTCTGGTTTTTTAGAGAAAAAAAAAAAAAGTTTTAGTTACCTGAATTAACTCAGCAAATGCCTGAACTACAAAGAGAAATAGTGAAATAGTGATGCCTGTTCTCAGAGTTTGGATTTAACAGTGGTGTTTTCTTCTATTCCAAAATCTTTTCCCCGCTAGCCTTAAAGCCTAAATTTGCAGAATCTACAGAAATTTCAGAACTTTCCCATAATTTTGTTATGGTAAATCTTGAGGTAAGACTTGGAAAATTTCTCCTTTCTTCTATGATCTTAAGACACTGTGTTTTAGAATTGTTAATGGTATAAAATCATATTCAGCACAACAGGCTAATTACGTGTTTTTCTCAGGACCTCTGATACGAAGGCTTGCATCAGATGTGTTAGAAACCCATCCAGCTTCTACTTTGGAAAGGAAGTAGGAGAGGAGACGTAGAATAAGATCATTAACTTTTAAGCTCCTTTCATCATCAGTTTATGGTTATAATAGGTTTTACATCATTGTATAGCTGGACTGGTTGTGTAGCTCTATCTCCTGGGAGGACTGTGACTCCACATTGTAGCTAACATTCAAGAAATACTGTGTGCAAGTCAGTGATGTAGGTATTGGGAATATAGCAGTGAATAGAACAGACTCCATTCCCTTATTGGAACAGCATTCTAGTGTGGAAGACAGACAAACAAGAAGTAAAGAAATGTGTCAGATAATGATAAATGCTCTGGCTAAAAATGAAGGTGAGTGGGGGTGGGGAACGGCTTGCAGTTTATAAGTAGGTGTTTATAAAAGAAGGTGACATTTGAGCAAAGATCTGAAGCAGAAAAAGTAGTGATCCATGTAGATCATGGAAGCAGTGTGTTCAGGCAGAGGGGTACAAACAAGTCCAAGACCCTGAGTTAGAAGCATGCCTATTGCTTAATGACATCAGCAAGTAGGTCAGTGTAGCAGAGGAGGACTGAAGAACGGGTAGGACGTGAAGTTGGGAAAGTACCCGAGTGGCAGATAATATAGAGCCTGTAGGCCTCTACAAGCGGGAGCAAAGGCTGCTGAAAGGCTTTGAAGAGAGGGAGGACACTGAGTTTATATTTAATCTTAACAGGATGAAGAAGAACCCAAGGATGAAGATTTCAGCCCTGATGGGGGTTATATTCCACGAATCCTTTTTCTGGGTAAGGCACAAGGTCTTAATCTAGGGATGTGGGTGGAGAAAGAAGTGAATCAAGGCACTGATTCACCCGGTGAAACTACTGGAATGGCCCAAACCAAAAATAAACAAAACACTAGTTTCAAGAGAGAGTGGGAGAGTTCTGAATGTCAAAATTGCACATTTGAACGAAAACTCTTCTCATTTATTAACTGCTTTTGTGAGCAGTGACAAGAGTTTGGTCATCCATTTAGTCATTCAGCAATCATTTGAGCATCAGCCATATGTCAAGCACTCAGTACCAGAGACCAGGCACTGCAGGGACAGAGATGAACCACAAATCCCATCCCTGACCATATAGGTAGCTAAGGCACAGGATGGTATAACCAGACAAAGTCTTTCCACAACTTCATAACAGATTTAAAGACCACCTAACCTTTGCTCAGCATTCTGTGAGATTCTTGTAGGTGATTGGTGGGGGGTACATATAAAAATGTATTATCTCACAGAACCAGCAGGTGGTATAGTGGCTAAGGCACTGGATTTCCACACGGTCATCTGTGGTTTGAGTCCCGGACCTGGTGGATTGCTTTCTCAGTCTTCTTTTCTCATTCTGTCTCTCCAGTAAAATGAAAGAATGATAATGATGATGAATAGGTAATTCTTCCTTTTTTCTTTTTGAGAGATTTTTGCAAGGGCACATGTGCTTGCCAGAGAGATAGAGAGAGACAGGAGACAGTGAAAAATCACCTCTCAGGGGAGATGCCACACCATAGTTCCTTCTCCATTCTCCTCTCAGGATTTTTGGCATACATGCATGCACACATACCTGGCATGAGTTTGAAGCTACCAGGTCTGGGACTCGAACAGCAGTCAGCCATGTGGGAGTCCACTGACGTAATCATTATGCCATCTGCTAGTCCCATGAATAGATCATTCCTTCTTTTTTAATATTTAATTTTATTTAGTCATTTAATTTTACCAGAGAAAGACACACAGAGAAGGAAAGTGAGAAAGCAAGCCATCAGGTCCAGAACTCGAACCATGGTTGGCCATGTGAGAGTGTCCAGCACCTTCACCACGTCACCTGCTGGCCCTTAGATCATTCTTTTTCTTTTTTTAAAAAAGGGGGGGGGACTAGTGGATTACATAATGATTATGTTGCCGGACTCCCACAAAGTCGACCATGGTCCCAGACCCCTGGTGGCTTAAAACTCATGCCAGGTGTGTGTGCATGTGGGCCCACAATCCCAAGAGATTGGAGGAGAAGGGATTGTAGCATGGCCATCCTCCCTGGGGAGGGGGAGGGTTATTTCTTACTTTCTGTCTCTTTCTGTGTCTCTGGCAAGTGCAGGTGCCCTATAGCAAAAAAGAAAAGTGTATTACCTCAGCATCATCAAGCAGAAAAGAAATATACCAGGAAGCAGGAACAGTGTATGCCAAGACATTGGGATTGGGGCTATCGGTGGGCTGTATTGAGGGGTTGTGAGGAATCGTGATGATAGCATGAAATGCAAAGGATGAGTTCTGAGATAACGGGCTGCAGGGTTGGGTGGGTCTCATTTTCTAAAGGGCTAGTGTACCAGATAGTGTTTGAAGTCTCTTTCTGTTGCAATTCTTGTAACTCCTTTGCCATTTTGTCTGCAATAGATCCCAGTGGCAAGGTGCATCCTGAAATCATCAATGAGAGTGGAAATCCCAGCTACAAGTATTTCTACATCAGTGCTGAGCAAGGTACAGTTACGCTGAGAGGAAGGAGGGAGGATTGTTGCTAGACCTTACTGGGATGAACCACATGCAAGGTCTGTGATAGGAAACCATTCAGCACATCAAGCACTGCTTGCATGATTCGCTTTTGGCTAGATCCCGTAGAGGATATAGAAGAAAGATAAGACCAAGCCCCTTTCTATGCCATTGTACTCAAAATCCAGTGGAACAGCCAGCTGGTCTAGGAAACTGAGGAACTGAAGTTCACAGAGATAGTCACTTGCCTGTGGTCTCACACTTAAAAAGTCACATGGCTAGGATCTGAGTACAGAACTTAGTTCTTCCACCGCACTCTTCTTCCTGTAAGAACTAAGAATAAGAAGAGTGTTAGCTGTAAGCTGAACAAGTTTAAGAGGTTTTCTAGATAATAAACTATAACTGGACCCAGGAAGATAAGAACTGGTCTCTGGGCAGAAAGGAGGAAAACATTTCAAGCTAAGAAAGCAGCAGCAGGGGTTGAGGGTTGGAGAGGGTGGACAGGGAGTTTACCCTAACATTAAGAGTCTGTAAGGCTTGCTAGAATAAATGATGCCTAGACTGAGTCCTGAAGAAAGAGACAGCAAGCAGTAAAATGGGGAATGCATGTTCCAGGCAGGGAGAACAGCATCAGCAGACAGGAAGGGCGGTTCGAATCCGGTCAGCCATGCTTTCTCTGCTCCTTGAGCAGTCGTCCTAGAGTGCTCAGGTGCAGAGGTTGGAATACACGCCGTATGTTGTACCATATAATTGTTTGCTATTGTTTTCCTTCCATTTGTTTCCTTATCTGTAAAAAGGAATTGTTAAGTTGCTACATGCCCCCTTTTGCCATGTTACCAAGTTGTTGATCATTTTATGTTTTTTTTAAAGAATTATTTTATTTAACTTTATTTATTTATTTTTTTTAATCTCTCGGGATCTTGGGCACGCACGCACACGCGCCCGGTGTGAGATTTAAGCCACCGGGTCCGAGACGTGAACCGCGGTCGGCTACGTGGGAGTCCAGCGACATAGCCATTACGCTAACTGCTGGTTCCCTATTTATTTATTTATTTTAATTTGACCAGAGAGGAACAGAGAGAGAGAGAGAAGGAAAGTGAGAAAGCAAGCCACCAGGTCCAGGACTTGAACTGAGGTTGACCCTTAGCCACCACACCACCTGCTGGCCCCGATCACTGTATATTTTGAGCACTTAGAACTTTTATTCTCAGAATAGGGAATGGGAAGAGATCTGGAGATGTTATCACCTACATCTTCTGAGTAAGGAGAATGTTTTCTTTAACCAAACACAGATTGCTGGAGATTCCTAGTAGAGGGAAATTTTCCACATGAAGAATGTCAACTAACTGGGCTTTAGGTCTCCAACTCTTGTCCTTGAGATTTACTTTCTTTTAGAACTTCATCAGAGTTACCACTGCCATCTCCATACTGGCATAGTAAATGTACATGTAGACATAAGCCCTTCTCCAAATCCCCCCATGGCTCAGCTGACATGCACCTGGAACATTCAAACTTGGCTTTACTAAAAGCATAGGCAAAACGAAGGGAAATAACAAACTACCTTATCTGGCTCTTTTGAGCTTATGGGTTTGCTTTCTGAGATTTCACAGTCTCTGGCTCAGTCTAGCTCCTGACTTGACATTGTCAAGGGCTGTATGGAATCACCACTCAAAAGCATGTATTGAAATAGCTGCCCTCCTTGAAATCTAAATCCATATGAGGGATGCCATGAGATAGATGAGAAAAAATTTTTAAGAGATTTTTTGCTATAGGGTATGTACATTCACTGGAGAAACAGAGACAAAAGGGGAGAAATCACCCCCCCGGGGAGATGGCCACAACATAATCCTTTCGTGTCCATTTTCCTCTCAGGATCT